TACTGACGTTGTCCTTTTTTTTCCAACTCTTAATAGTAGCCATTTTCCTGTCCTGATAAGAAGTTGTGGAGATGCATATATGCCTATTTCCTGAAGGAATGCAGCACATTGAATAAGAAGACACAGTTTTCAATGATTCAGGAAGTTTCAAACTTGACATTAATAAAAACAAAACACAGTCACAATATGTTTTGTGTCTAACAAATGCCTGAGTCGGAGTTCTAATGAATGCTAATCTACAAAAATTGCTTAAAACATTCTTATTTATTTAATTTAATAGTTAAATTAATACTTAATAGTTAAATTTAATAAATTTTATAGTTGAATATGATAGTTAAATTAATATTTAATAGTTATATTTAATAAATTTACTAAATTTTATAGTTAAATTTAATAGTTAAATTAATATTCAAATCGTGCCGTATTCGGTTTCGGGCTACCATTACTCCCCGCCTCAACTCACTTTGTATATATATATATATATATATATATATATATATATATATATATATGTGTGTGTGTGTGTGTGTGTGTGTGTGTGTGTGTGTGTTTGTGCGTGTGTGTGTGTAGATAGATAAGATGGATCGACCTTGAACTCTGTCATACACACACACTAAGTTGTAACTTTCTCACTAACCTTTGTTATTTATAGAATTGTTTGGAAGGAAAGTGTGTAGAGTGCGGTCGTCTCACCTAAAAATAATCCATTAGAGGTCATGCCTTGTGAAAGTCCAACAACCACCACATTTCCCAGACACCTCTCCTTGCAACCTGTTCCCCATATGATAAAAATATAGTTTTAGCATATACTATATTTAGGGATAAAACTGCTCAATATCAGGGATAAAGCGTATGTAAACATAACAGTGGATGCTCTAATCAACAATGGATAGGGACAGCCTGTTCAATACTCAGGCCTTACACACACACACACATATATATATATATATATATAGTTAGATAGATATAAGCAGACATATATATATACTGATATATAGATATATAGATAGATAAATAGCTAGCTAGATGCAAGCAGACATAGATAGATATAAGCAGACAAACACACACACACACACACACACACACACACACACACACACACACATATATATATATATATATATATATATATATATATATATATATATATAGTGAGGTGTATATATAGATATGCAATATGTCCTGGTCTGAAGAATGCGTTCAAGCACGAAACAGACTTCAATCGATTTTGACAACTCGAAGAAGGAATGTTGCCTTAGCATACACTGATGATGATGCAGTAGACGCTGGAGTGACTGGAAGACTACAGGTGATGCGCAACTTCCCGGTGTTGGGCGCTTCTTGGCCCTTGCCTGAAGCATCTTGGTCAGTATAAGCCACAGCCCGTGGAACACCCATGCGCCGCAGAGAAACCTCGATCCAGCGTTCGACAGTAGCGCCGAGAAAGAAGCAACCATGAACGACAAAATGAACACCTACAGCCGAAAGGTTGACATGCTCTACGCGCTACTCAGGGACAATAACTTGACACGTAAATTCAAGACTACCATCTACAAGTCCCTACTGCGGCTACTTATTCTGTATAGACGCGATTGCTGGACAATGGCAGTATCGTGTGCAGGCAGCTGAGATTGTGGTCCTTCGTTTTGACTGAAGGCATCACACGTCAGGACAAGATGAAGAATGATAGCATCAAACAAGGACTGACCTGGAAGAGTATCCTGACGCTGCTACAACTGGAGAGCGATTATGAAAGTTGAGTGCAAAGCAAGAAATCGGAAGAGAGTTCCACAAGAGAGAGGTGCAAGAGAAGAAACTGTTAACATAGAACTTACGGTTACATCTAGCCATTTCAACAATAAAAGGATGAGACCTAACAGCTAATCTAGTCCTGCACTTAAATTCATAAATATAAGAATCTAAGAGGAAAGCGCTTCAGAACAATTAACATGAAAATATTTATTTTTAAGAAAAGGCAGATAAGCTACTTCACAGCGGAAGTAACTGTAGCCGAGATGAGACATCAGGGCCAATAAGTTCACACATTCTTATTTTATTTAACCAAGAATGTCTAAATCAATGATTCCGAACATGGGGTGTATGCTCCATCGTTGGGGTATGGTAATAAGGCATGCGTATGATGTGCACCCTTCGACTTCCTATACCAACAAAATAAAGGGGCATTTCAAAAATGAGTTATTAACAGTGAATTGTTTTCTAATGAGCTCAAATTTCATTTTGCGTTATTATTTCATGATTAAAATGATCTGAGTATATTACAGAATAAACTTTCATTCAAATATTTTATATTTCTGCTTTTCTGTTCCCTGTTATATGTTTCGAAACTATATATATATTTAACTGTCTTTTTGTTTTTTTGTTTTTTTTTAAATTTTCCCTTTCATGGAAGCCATGTTCTTTGGATGGCCTGTTTAGAGACAAAGTTAATGGCCTTTAAGCTTCCTTCATGTGAATTGCAGTAAAATGTTGAATATGTAAGAATTAAATACTACAGAGAGGCACCAGAATTTTAGAAATACCAAAGTGTGCTATAGTCCAAAATCGGTTGGGAACGACTAGTCTAAATATACAACAGAAGCAGCCGACACTGTGTGACAGTAATATTTAATGCAATGACGAATGGTAGACTTAGAAATGTGTGAGATAGATTTTGGTAAGAAACATTGTCCAGCTCGACACGGAGAACCAACTTTCTTAACAAATTATTCCAGTAAAAGAGAGTTCCAAAAGCTAAAACAATGTATTCCTTAAATGTTTTTTCTTAAAGCTCTCTCTTTGATTTCATTCATATTTTTTTGTTTCTTTTTTCTCCCTATTATTCCTCTGCCCGTCTTCTTAAATCTCTCTTACGCTAAATTCTCTTTGCATTTTCTTTGCCCTATAAAAGCAGGGGACTGACTATTAAAAAGATCTTGGACCGTTTAGCGTTACAAATGCCTTTTCCGGCCTAGTCAAGTTAAAGGTAGCAAGGACAAGATCCATGGACAGAGTGGTGACGATGATGAAGGAAATGAAAAGAAAAGAAAAGGAAAAGAAAAAAAACACATGCAAGGGTCGAATCAGGAAAAGGTATCGGGTGAGGGAATTTGTAGTACGTCGGACAGCAAATCTGGTGGACAATTACTCTCTAACAGAGTTGCTGTCTTGTCGAAAACGTTGTGACCAGCGGCACTCGAAAGACAGCCAATATTAAATACAACAAAAACAACGTGATTGTCGATTTTTTTTATTTTATTCTGATGTCCATGTAGAGATACGAAGAATAAATCAAAAGCCGAAACGGACAGGAAAAAAAAACGAGAGAGAGACAAACGATAAAACGTGTTTAAGTTGGGAGGAAGAAGTCAGATCACAGGAGAAAGAAGCAGGCGAAGCCGATAAGATACAACGTGTCGGTCAGTGTCTGTTATTAGACGAAACAAAACCCGGACAAGGAAAGCGGAAGAAAGAAACCCGGGAAGAGTTGACAGACACTTGGTTACATTTATAGGTTAAGACTATTAATTTTATTGGTCTATTTGTAAGGACGCCGATTCAGTGCAAGCCAGGCGCTTGAAAATGTAGCTTATTGGTTAAGCGTAGCAAACACCTAGAGGTCATCAACACTGTCACTAATTACCCGGCTGTAAACAGATTCAGGTGGCCTTTCCAGTAAATTAACATTTGCTGGAAATCAAATTGTCTTACGTTGGATCTCGTCGACTGGTGCTGACGAATACCAAAGACATTTGCCAAATAACAGGAATTACGTCATTTGAAGACTTCCACCAACAGCAAAAACTAAAACGGATACTGTTGTGTATGAAGACGACCGACCTTCGCTAAACGAAATTGTTGGTCTTTATCCGTTCGCTAATAGTGGGACGTCATAGGAGCAGGACTCGCAAAGTGGGTCACAAAGTTACGCAATGTTGAGCCGTACGCACTGTCGCATTACCTACTCTGTTCGCTATTATTGTAATATTAATTTATGTGATTAGACCCTTCTTGTTGATCATGTTCCTCATAGTCTATGAATATAGAATACAGCGCAGTACGTAATCTGTTCAATAAAACAACGTTAAAGATTAACACTCACTTGTCAGACACTCTACTGAATCTGACTATATAGCCAATACCACCAGCAGCTGTTCCGTAATTCTTCATTTTTCGATATCAAAGACTGACAGTGATATTTAGCCACCACTCCACGAGGGTTTCCTGTGGCACAAGGCCGGAATTAACGTGGGATCTCCGAGGCCGTAGGCTCAGCCAAAAATATTCCCTATTCGAACGCGTATAAACGGGTTCAGGGGCAGCCAACCTCCCCGAACGAGCGGAGCCTCGTTATCAAAGGCTGGCAGTGAATAATCGGGAAAAATGGCCGCCTTTACACACGTCGCATTGAATATTTTGAGCCTTCTGATTGGTTAACCTTTTTATTGGTGAACTATAAAATGAGTCAGCTCATTTTGGCTGGTTCACTAGTACACCAGGATTCTGACATGGTAACTGGGTTCGAATCTCACCACGGTCGATTCCTCAGGAAGGAGACTTCCTGATGATCCTTTGAAAAGTGCCTGAAAACCATACCACGGTTTGACCCAAGCCTTGTGAGTGACATTGTGTAGCAGAACCCAGTTGAAAGCTGTGCTAGCACGAAGTCACAAGTCATCGTGGCCGAGGGCTTGAGCGGGCTGGCCTTGTGCTAGATAACACACTCTCTCCCAGAAACTGTTGCACTATAAACAACGTGGGATCTGTGGGTGTGGAAGAAACAAAAAATATGCCTGAGCGACCCTCTGCAATAGGGATAGGCAGCCGCCTTTGCAGACGGTTATCCTCGAATAAGAGTGACCAGCTATACATACATACATTATTAATTCATGAGGTTCCTTCACTGGAACCTTTTGATCAATTGATTTCCTTGGAATATTAACAGGAACTACGAGATTATTATTATTATCATTCAAAAGGGGTTGATAAACCGTAAAAACACA